ACATTAGTCCAGACTGAACAAACTAAAACCTTTTGAGTTTTTATGACGACTGAAGCTTGGGGGAGGGGAGGGGTGTTCAGCTGCAACATGACACTTCACCACTAGATGTCACTAAATTCTACACACTGAACCTTTAAGATTCCTTCAGAGCAGCTGATTGACTTCATGTTAAACAGTGTTTCTCTGACTTGTCTCTGATGAGTCGAGCTGCCGCTAATGTTCGCTTAGCTTGTTTCTCTGAAAACTTCAGAACCAGATGTCCGACGACTAAAATCCTTCATCTGCTTCAAACACAGTTACAAACAACCAAGATCTAAAAAGTGCATCATAAAAATGTGACTTCAAACTGGGTAAAAGTCACTTTTGACTCTTCAGACAAACACTGACACATGCACAAAGAGGAGAGCAACAGGCGGCCAGATGAAGTGTTAGCTTGTTTAAACCACAGGTTTCTGCAGGTTTGAAAATATAAATATACAAAACCAAATCAGAAAAAGTTGGGACGTTATGTTACATTTCAAATTATAAGTGAAAACAGTGATTTATAAATGATCTTTAACCTGTTTTACAGTAAAAACAACACAAAAGCAAATTATTTGATGTTTGACATCATAGATTCTATTGTTTCAATTTTGATTCTTGCAACATATTTCAAAAACAGTTGGGGCAGTTAAGTTTCTATCACTTTGTAATGTTGCCGTTCCTTTTCACAACACTTAAAAGACGTTTAGGTGATGAAGCGTCTCAGATGTCATTTTGTCCCATTCGTCCTGCATGCAGGTCAGTCCGGCACCCCCACCCTCTTCTTCAGCAGCCATGCCTTTCTCATGTGTGCAGAACGTGGTTTTGTGTTGTCTTGTTGAAATGTGCATGTCTGGAGAAGATGTCGTCTTGAAGGCAGCATATGTTGCTCCAAAATCTTTTCGTCAGTAATGGTGCCATCACAGAAGACACAACCCCAAGACAGACCCTGTCTTTTAGACTTGTTGCTGATGACAGCGTCCATTTCTTCCAGAAAAGACCTGAAATACTGACTCGTCTGACCTCGATACACGTTTCCACTGTGTCATGGTTCATCCTCAGAATCCTTGGAGTCCAGAGAAGTCGACGGTGCGTCTGGACAGTTCACATAAGTCTTTGGCTCAGTAAAGTTTTAACTGGTGGATGTACTACGTATTGTAGTGCGTGACAAAGGTTTGCCAAAGTAATCCTGAGCCCATGTGGTTCTCCCTCTGATGGATGACGGTTCTTGATGCAGTGTCTGAGAGATTGGAGAATACTGTTAGTCAGTTTAGGCTTGTGTCCTTTACGCACTGAAATTCCTCCAGATTTAAAAATGTACCATGAAATATCTAAATCCCTTCCTGTCTCTATTTGAACACTGTTTTTTAAACATTTCAATAATTTTCTCACACATTTGTTGGCGATCCTCTGCTCATCTTTGCTCCTAAAGAACTTTCCTGGATGCTGCTTCTGGACTAATTCATGTACAATCACCTGCTGACATCACCTTTTTCAAATCACTTCATCTTTTCATCATTCGATCTCATTACTCGCCCTAAATTGCCTGATTGGCAGGAATGAATGTATATTTAGAAACACAATGAACCTTGAGGCTTCATTAAACTGACTCCTTGGTCTCACTGTTGTAAACACTCAGCTCCAGTAACTCAACCTGACTTTGTGTGTTGAGTTTGTGAATCTGGCTCGTCTCCGTCATGTTTTTATCAAAGAGCAGAAACTTCAAACTCCTCTTTCATTGCAGTTTGCTGCTGATCCGATGCATTCTGGGTAATCAGGCAGAAGGATCTTCCCACTATAAATATACAGTTTCTGTCATCAAATGACTTCGTTAAATCACCAGCAGCCCGACAGCTGAGGTCACTGTGTGTGTGTGTGTGTGTGTGTGTGTGTGGGGGGTATGTACACACATACAAATACACTCTTACACACACACACACGCCCACGCTGACGCCCACACAATGAACCATAGCTTCACAAACATCCATGTGTTTTGTTTCCATGACAACGATATTACAGAACTAAAATCACTCTGCTTGAGTCTCAGAGAGAAAGAGACGGACAGACTGTGTGTGTGTGTGTGTGTGTGTGTGAATTACTGTCAGAGAAAGACATGGAGACTTGATGTCTGTTCTTCTTCCTCAGACTGGACAGTGTGTTGGAGACTGGACAGATTTGTCCTCTGAGTGTTGATGGCATGGAAACGACTCCCAGGAGAGAAGACCAATATACCGAGTGCTCATAAACACACCGTCAGTCCCTGTGGAGGACACACGGTTGTCCTCTTTATGCTCAGTGTCATCTTCATCATCTGTGACCTTCACCACGAAGCTGATGTTTTCAAAGATGTTTGTTTGACACTAAAACTAGAGAACACGTCTCTGAGACACCCGAGTGTCACACAAACTGTTTTTATTAAGATCCATGAATTATTCTCTAAAAATGTTGAAAAAAGATTCTTCTCTGACACGTCACATCCACTGTGCACGAGTCTGTGACGCTGCTGAACAGATGGAATCAAACACAACACAGACATGATGTCACAAGATACACAAACTCATCCTGATCCATCCAGAAACAATGAGACCGCTGGGCCACAGTGTCGCAGCCAGTGTTTGTTAGACCTGCTGCTCTGGTTCAAATGTGCAGTGACATCAGAATCAGCGTGTGATTGGTCTGAACAGCAGGAAGACAACTCCAGATGTCCTGGATATGTTGAACTCACTTCGTAGAACAGACTCCAGCAAATGAAACCAAGCAAACCTTATTCTGCTTTCCACTTCACAGTTTAAATAGTAATAAGAAACACATCAGACTTAATATAAAAGTGAAGCTCAGTGAAACACTGTGAGATATACAAATATGTACAAAGCAAATATATTAGGTCTTAAATAGCTTTCAGCAAAAAAGAGACTTCAGGTCATTGATAAAAACAGAAGCATTTACAGAAACCTGTCGTGTTTCAGCAAAGAGCTAACAAGATACAAACAAACAACAGATGAACGAGGTGACACAGTCCGTCCCGTCCAGGAAATAAAGACATCACTGAGGACAGTGAGGAACCTTCTGGAGACATAAACATCTGCGGACGTTTCCAAACAACTCTGACGACCGGACGCACACCCTGCTTCAAACAAAGAGCCGCCCACATCATTGACTGTGTCTGAAACCTCTTTGTGACTTTGTACAGTGATGGTGTGGAAGCTCCGTTTGGTTTTGGGAATTTCAACAGAAACCAGGTTATAGTGATATTTAAATATTCTGAATATACAAACTTAGAGGCCGAGAATGGAGATGAACCGATGCTCAGAAACCTGGAGACGAACGACCACATGTCTCAAAACTCAATCCACATCAAAACCAGGGTAAAAGTCTTCTTGATTTTTTGTTGCTGTTAAAAGAAATGAAATGTCTTGTGGTGAAATTCTGCCATTTAAATGAATTCACAAATTTTTCTCCAAAGTAATTTACAACTGAGGGACAGCAAATCTATTTGTTAAGACTTTCCGACCGCAGGAGTCTGGACCTGGAGAAGCTGCTGTTGGTCTTGTGTCCGGTTGGGAACTCATTTAAAAACTAAAACAATCTCTGTCCACGCTAACACACCTGGAATCACATGACCGTTCACCTACACTGGTCATGTGATGTAAACAGGAAGTAGATGATCCCTTCTGCAGTTGGTTGCCTAGTTACAGAAACTCTTCTGAAGGAGGAACAGTGATGGTGAAAAGTCAGAGCAGGGATTTCTGGACCTGGTTGGACGACATGTTTGTTTGAAGCAGGTCTCACAGCCGGGTTCACTTCCATTGAGGCACTTGTTGAACCAGGAGAGACAGGAACAGGAAGCACAACAATTTGATTGGCTGGATTCAAGCCCACCCTTTACAATCTGTAGTTTCCCAAAATGAAACTTGGTGTAACCAGAAACCTAAAGACAAGGAGTCATTTAGATGAACAGTCGCACATGTGAAGCTGATATGTGAGCCAATCACTGAAAGGCTACTGATGACAAAGTGCACCAGAACATTCCCTCTTTAAACATCATGCTGAAGAACCCAAGAGGAAAGATGAGCACCCCCCACAGTATTTAGAAAACAGCAGCTCCTGGAGTCGTGATCACACTGAGTCGCTCAGATGAACTCAACCAGTGAACAGAGTTCCTGTGCCACATGGTTCTTACAAGAGTTGTGTGGTGTGGTTTAGTCTCTTAGTTTCATAAGTGTCCCATGTTTTACAGTGTATTAGGTTCAGGAACATAAGAAGTGCATGGGTAAGACATTCCAGCAGGTAGGACTCTGGTCCACTTTGGCAGGACGGTGGTTTCCTGCCTCCCGCTGACTCACACAGTGGTCATGAGTTTGAGTGAACCTGACCTGAACCTCAGGATCTTCTTCTTCAGGTTGTGAGAGGCTTTAATCTTGACGAAGGCCTTCACCTGAGGTGGACTCCTGTCTTGCCCCATCACCCTGGCCCCTGGTGCCCCCAACTGGTTCCAGCATTTGCCCATTCCACCTGTCCCACCGCCAGCTCCACTCTCCTCAGTACCACTGCTGGTGGTGCTCTCCTCCACAGACTCACTGTCTCCAAAGCGGTTGGTGGTGTAGTTGGATCTCTCGTCCTCACTGGTGTCCATGATGGTGGAGTGAAAGAGCGACGCACACTCGGCAGAATACTCAGAGTCACTTCTTCCAATGTAAGAGTACGGGCTCCTCAGCTGCCCACTGGAGGGGCGGTACATGTTGGCTGCAGAAATACTGAGACGCTCTTTTCTCTGCTTTCCCTGAGTGCGTCTGAACGCCTCATGTGCGACATCCATGGTCACACGTAGCCGCCGGTAATCATGGCGTTTGTGTTTTGGTTTAGCAACAACCATTACCTGGTCACGCCTGTGGTGATGGTGATGATGGTGACTGTGGTGGTGGAGGTTTCCATGGTAACAGTACTTGGACGTGCCTGACCGCACACTGGTTAGTGTCAGTGTGGTGTATTTATCCAGGACTCGGCCTTCTGGGATGGACAAGGGAAGGCGTTTGATTATGGATGAGGAAGCAGTGCCAGGTGCTGTCTTGGAGACTTTAATGTTGGTAGAACCTCCATCCTCCAGTAGCTGGGACTCTTTAGAACTGGACCTGCGGTGAGATTTATCCTCTTCTCTCTCTGAAGGCTCATTGTGTTCAGGGGTCAGACTCATCTTCATCGACGTGGTGATCTTCACCTTGACAGTCTTGGTATTCTTTCTGCTCCCTTTGCAGAGTTTGATGTTCTGCCGCTGGGCAGGAATGTTCTTAGTGTTAACCATGTGACTCCTTCGTCCTCCTCCACCTCTTGCTTTGTCCGGAGTCTGAGAGGAGGACCCTAGAACTGTAAGCTCCAGTACTGACCTGTCACCTTTCTCCGTCTGGTCGGCTTGCAGAAGCTTGGGGCTGTTCGTAGGAGAGGCTGATTGTGTTTTGACAGCCGGAGGAGATCTGAGGAGCAGTGCTGGGTCAGGCGAGTAACATGGCTGCTTGGTCGCCTTGGGGGTGGAGTCAGCTTTGGGAGTGCCAGGCTCCTTGACGTCTTTATGCATAGTGGCGATGGCCACTGCTGACAGAGGGAGCAACACTTTGCTCTTCTTTGTCAGCAGACTTGGGTTCATTAGAGAGCTGCTCTGGTTTCGTGCCAAGTCACTGCTATTAATCTTGAAGCCATCTTGCTTTGTGTCAACGCTGCCGCCATAGACGCTATTTAAGGTCTCCACCTTCTCTGCTTTAGTCTCCACGGACCAATGCCTCTGAGGAGACAAGGTTGCTGCTGTGCTGGTGGGTTCCAGTTCAGACCCCTTCAAAGTCTTTAAACCAGGACCAGACACCTGCCTCACACATAGACTTGCCTGCCTCAGAAAGCTCTTTGACGGTTCAGTGCTGATGCTGGTCCTGGGTCTGCTGGTCCTGATGGGCAGGGCTCTCCGCTGTACTAGACTGTAGATGTAGCTGTCCAGATGCTTCTGAGACTGAGTGTGGGAAGAAGAGGAGGCCGACCAGGATGAGCTCTGAGGTACAAGAGGAGCTGCAACAGAAGCAGACTCTGGTTTGATAACTTTAACACCAGCTTCAATGGTTTTCAGAAGTCCATCGTCTACGCTGTGACTGCAATGACCCAACATCTGAAGGAAGCTCGGACTCTGGACTGCCACGGCGTGCAGCGGGCTTGGGTAACGGTACACGTCGCTGCCATTTTGGATCACCAGGTTGCAGCGATTCTTCGACTGGGAGCAACAGGAGACAGAATCCAGGGTGTGTGGGTGAGGGGCAGAGAGTGAGCGACGAACTGTTCCAGACAAGTCATCACAACGTCCTCCAACCAGAACGTCACAGTCCAAACAGTTGCACCGCTCTTCTGAGACGAGAAGGAGTTTCACATTAGTGAGAAGCAGTGTTGTCATCAGCAGCAGCTCCACAGGACTAAATGGATTCGACTAAAGTTAATGAAATAAAATCTACACAACTTCAGGCTGAGACACGTCTCCTCTGACTACACCTGGGTTAAGAAAACAGTTTAGTTAGTTTAGTTTAGTTTAGTAATGGAACAAAAAAAGAATTCTGGGTTTGTTCTCTCATGGGGATGATGTGTAATGTAATCTAATGTAAACTAAAGTCAAGTCAAGTCAAGTAGAGTAATGTAAAGTAAAGTAAAGTAATGTAAAGTAATGTAATGTAGAGTAATGTAAAGTCAAGTCAAGTCAAGTAGAGTAATGTAAAGTAAAGTAAAGTAAAGTAAAGTCAAGTAATGTAGAGTAATGTAAAGTAAAGTTATATAATGTAGAGTAATGTAAAGTAATGTAAAGTCAAGTAGAGTAATGTAAAGTAAAGTTAAGTAGAGTAATGTAAAGTAAAGTAA